GGCCGTCGGGTGGAAGGTGCTGGCGCGCGTCCCGGTGACACGGCGCCGTCGCCCCCTGGCGGCTCCCGGCCCCTTGACCCGTTCACTCCCGCAGCCACCTACAAGGTCACAGCGCAACGACGGCTGTCAGCAGGCGCCCAGGCCACCTACACCCCCAGAGTCCAACAGATGCCAGAGGAAGGGCCCAGATGGGGCTTCGGGAGAGGAGGAAGGCCTGGAGGGCTTTCTGGAGGAGGCCGCATCTGAGCCAAGACCAGAGGGAGGGTCGGGGAGCTGGAGATGGCACCAGAGGACACAGCGGGCAGAGGGGTGGCAGTAGGGGCCAGTGCTCTCTAGGGACCAGCTCGTTGGGGGACGGCATGGACTTACCTGTCAGGGGCTGGAGAAGTGGGCCAGGGTCAGATGGCACAAGTCCATAGGACAGTGGGGGCTGGGGGCTGGGGGCTGGGGGCAGGGACCTGTCAGGTCATTAGTAGTAGTTTAAACAAGGTGGGGGCCTTTCTCTCCTATGAAATAAAGTCCAGAGGGGGTGGTGCAAGGCAGGCACTGTGTTCCACAGTTCCGAGTCCTGGACTCCTGTGTTATGACCCACCACTCTCAGTACATGGCTTCCATTTCACCGCCCCCAATGGCTGCTCAGCCACCAGCCATCACATCCCCATCCCTAGATGGAAAGCTTTCCAGTCATCAGGAGAAAGGAGCCAAGAAGGGAGGAAGTTCCCCTTCAGGAAGCCACCTGTGATCCTTTTGCTTCTATTTTATTGGCTAGATCTTGATCACATGGCCTCTCTAAGCTACAACAGAGGCTAAAAGAGATGGTTTGTGTTCCTGGCACTGTGCGTCCAGTTGGAAGGTGAGGTCTGTTTCAAAGGGGAGAAGTGAAGCCTGAGTGTGGGGGACAGCTGTCAGTCTCTGTCACTCAGCAGTTGCATTTCCAGGAGTGCATCCTACAGGTGACCTGTCCCTGTGACGTTTCTACATCGTCATTTGCTGCATCATCGCTTGTGGCAGCCAAAGCAAAGAAGCAGGGACGTTGCCAACGCACTGATGTGACGTGGCATGAAGGAGACTACTTTGGAAAACAGTTGGGCAGGGTTTTTATTTATTTACTTACTTAGTACTGGGGACTGAACTCAGGGGCACTTGGCCACTGAGCCACATCCCCAGCCCCACTTTGTATTTTATTTAGAGACAGGGTCTCATGGAATTGCTGAGTGTCTTGCTTTTACTGAGGCTGGCTTTGAACTTGCCATCCTCCTGCCTCAGCCTCCCGAGCTGCTGGGATTACACAGTTGGTCAGATTCTGATAAAGTTAAACACATACCTTCCCTGTGACCCACCAAGTTTGCTCTTAAGTCTTGTCTCCAAGAAATCAGAATAAATATCCCTACAGGGACTTGTACCCAGTGTTCCTAACAGTTTTACTGTGTCATGGACACCAGCTGGAGACAGCGCCGTCTCCGTCAACCAGGTGAAGGGAGGATCGGACATCCCAGCATCCGCGTGGTCAGGCGGGCTATTCTTCCCGTCAGTGAACTGACTCTTCACATACGCTGAGCGAAAGCAAGTCAGACACGACAACAACACGTCTTCACGACGCTGTTGCTGTGAGATTCCAGAACAGGTGAAACCCGAGGATCGATGGTGACAGGAAGCAGCAGAGGCTGCCTCCGGGCGGGGAGATGGGTTAGGAAGGCGCATGGAAGGGTTTCTTGGGGTGCTACAAATGTTCTGAATCATAATGAGAGTGCCGGTGTGCAGGTGCGTTTTGCTGTATGTAAATGAGACCTGGATATAAAAAAATAATAAAGCCCCACGTGGGGACCGTGTGTCCAGGGTGTGACCTTGTGTACTTAACAAGGAAGGAAATGCACTTGTATCTGCGTGGAGACTGCCTCGAGGAGACTGAGGACCTCAGGGCCCTGCAGGAAGGGACCTGGGACCAGGTAGGGGGAAGCTTTGCCAGATTCTGTTGCATTGGTGGAATCTCTAACCAGTGGACCACGTGCTGCTTAATCAAGAACTAAATATGAAAAGATCCGTTTGATGCATATTTGACATCACCCTGTCCTCCCTCTCTACAACCCCCCAGTGGCCCTTGGTGGCAGTCTGGACAGAGTTTAGACTCTGAGCTGTCCCCATCCAGGTAGCCCCCGGCAGCCCCTTACCACCCACCTGCAGCAGCTCAGCCCTGGCTCCTGCCTGCTCAGGACAGGCGGTCCCCGGTCCCCTGGGGCGTGTCTCTCTCTCACTCCTCAGTTCCCAGAGGTGGAAGCTCTGGCCAGTCCCCAGCTGAGTTGGTCCCCATGGACTCAGGACGCTCTTTATCACCTGGCCCCAGGCTGGGAGCTGGACTCTCCAGATCCGGCTCCTGTTCTTGGCTTCAGCTCCTCCTCCTCCGGGGCAGCGGCCTTGGTCAAATGTCTTGTTTTTAAAGCAAATGAGGGCTATACCCTGTGACAAGGACCAGAGGTCCCGCTCTCTCGGCACATACAGAGGAAGCCAGCTGCCAGGGGACGGATGAATGGTGTCCTCCAAGAGGAAACGGTCCTGTCCTAACCCTGTATCTGTGCCCGTCGCCTTCTTTGGAAACAGGGTCCAGATGGACATATTCAAGGGCGGATGGGCTCCCACTGGACCCTAATCCAGTGATGTCCCCAGAAGAGGGGAATTTGGATGCGGACACCCAGGGAGACACTAGGTGACCATGGAGGCAGATCAGAAGCGAGGCGACTTCGAGCCGGGCCATGTCACCGGGGTTTGCCGTGACCTCAAAGCCGGGAGGAGGCAGAGGAGCATCCTCCTATGGGGTCTTCAGGGAGAGCGAGCGGGGCCCGTTGACACCTGGGTCACAGACTTTGGCCTCCAGAAATGTGAGAGCCCCAAGGGACCCCGTTGGTGGTCACCTGTCCCCACAGTGTGAGAAAGGGGAGTGCCCAGAGCAGAAGGGCTTTGGAAAACAGACCAGAGCCAGCAGCCAGGCGGGCGACGGAGAGTGGGGACAAGAATCTGTGCCAAGGCTGGAGGTCCCCTGGAGGAGGTGGCCTCTGGGCAGGGACTGCAGGAGGAGTCACCGCTGTGTCAGGATGAGGCAGGGGGGACGCTAGAAAGTCACCAGCTACAGCTCTGAGACGGAGGGGACTCTGCTGGGGGGCATCTGGAGGGGACCGTTCTCTCCTGGCCTCGGCGGTCCCCGAGCTGCTGCCTGGCTGAGGCAGTCGTCCTGTGGCCTGGGCCGGCTGGCAGCCGATGCTGGCCTCCCAGCTGACACGCTGCCGGCTAATTGTGATTAACTCCCGGGTCCTCGCCCTGCTCGGCCGAGCTGCGGGGGCGACAGCTGCAGAGTCGAGCCACGGGGCCAGGAAGGGGTTAATGGGCGGCCCGTCCATCTGAGCCCTTCAGACAATGAGGGGCGGTGGGGAGGCCCCTGGGGTGCGTGTGTGGCATCAGCTGGGATGAGTGAATGGAGGGGACAGGGGCCTTGTCCCTGGGGACAGGGCGTGAGGGCTCTGTGGGGAGAGGGGTCACACAAGAACCCTGCCATGATTTCCACCCTGCCCTCCAGTCTCTCCACCACCCTCAGAGCGTCCCCAGCCCCCTAGAGTCCCTGGGCAGGAATTTGGAAAGCCCAGGAAGTGCAGAGTCACCACACGTGGCCCCTGGGAGGGGCCCATCTCCTCCGTCTCTTTCATTATTAGCAGGGGAAGCCAGCGCTCCCCGCCTCCATGTCCCCCCCCCCCGGAAGAACAGGTCGGACATGGGTGACACCAGAAGCAGTGGCTGGTCCCAGCCTGCCTCCTTCACCCCAGTCCTGCCACTTAAAACTGGGGTACCCTGGGGGGGTTGGTGCACAGTATTATAGGTTTTGACAAGGGTATAGATCATGCACTTGCCACCAGGGTTACTATGTAGAATATGTCCACTGTCCCCAAAGTCCCCTCCCGCCCCTCTGCAGTCGGCATCCTCCCCCTGGTCCCTGGTGGGCAGGGAACCAGGGCCTTGTGGATTCTGTAATTTGACCTAATTTGGAAAAAGGATTCTGCAGATGAGATCAAGTTAAGGATCTCGAGATGAGGATGACCCGGGTGGACCCCAAGCGCCATCCCAGTGTCCCTGTAGAATGGAGGCGATCCCACCGAGGAGGTCAGGTGACTCAGGAATCCCAGGGACGACTCCGCCCTGGAGAGTCCAGACTGTGATTCCAGACTGAAGCTTCAGAACTGTAAGAGAAGAGATTTCTGTTGTTCTAAGAAGCTCAGAATGGGATACTTGGTAGCAGAGGCCCTGCAGATGGATACAGCCATCAGCCTCGTTCTGCCTCTGTCTGTCTGTATCTTATTAGATAATGGACTCCCAGACATTTTTGAATCTGGTTTCTTTCATTCAGCATGACACATTTGAGGCTCATCTCGGTTCTTGCCGGTAACTCCATTCCTTTTTGTGGCTGAGTAGTATTCCATGGTAGAGATACAGCCTTGTATCCATCCACTAGTTGAAATGCATTCAGATGGCTTCCAGTTTGGGGTAATTACATATAATGTTGCTATGGACACATGTGTAGGTCTCTGTGTGGATGTGAGCTGTCTTTTCTCTAGAGTAGGTACTTAGGAGTAGAGTTACTGGGTCCTTTTTAAAGTGCATTTATAATATTCTAAACTGACTAGCCACCTTCCAATATAACTGTGTTAAAAAAATATCCATTTAAATAAATAGGTACCAATCATAGGGTTACCGTGAAGATTAAACAGATATATATACCCATATACCCCGTGTGTGTGTGTGTGTGTGTGTGTGTGTGTGTGTTTCCGAGGATTGAACTCAGGGGTGATCTACCACTGAGCTACATCCCTATTTCTTTTTTTTTTTT